CTTTATCCTAGACTCTTCAGTGGCTATGGAGAGCACAAAACCAAACTAGCTTGGTCGATAATTGTGTACTTTGCCTAACTTACTCAAATATGTGCAATCAAGTCTCTGAGTATTCATTTGAATTACTAAGAGTTCAAAGCTCACTGAAGATGCCTCATGATCTCCACAATTATTTGCTGAAATTTGCTTCTCCATCACGGTGTGTAAAATAGAGAGGATAAATTTGCACTTTTAAAATAAGACCGGATACTGATACACACAGGATTAAAAAAAAATCCTACAATATATTCATTTGTTTCTCATTTTAGATACTTTCTTCTTTACCCATTTAGCTACCAAGTTCTCGTTAAACTGTAATTTAAGAACATGGTGTTCCTTAAAAAGATCATTGTGTGATAAAGAAGGAACGGCATTTTGAAAGGGATTTGTGACTCCTCTGGATGATTTTATTTATAATTTTCTCCCCAATGAATTTAGCATAAATTATAGACTAAATAGCATAAATAGATTTACCTTTCTCAAAGTTTTGTGGTTTGGACAGTTTCTATGTAACTCATTTCTTAGCAGGATATCAGCTCTAAGCCAGAGGGAAACCACCGCTAGAGATGTTTCACTAGTTTCTCAGTTTGAAATGAAAGTAAATGTAGAATTATTTATGACTTTTACATACTGTTAGAAAAGCACACAGTCTTCAGCGATAATATGGTTTCTCCTTTCAGAAAGAACATCATGTAAAACTGTGGCAACGGTTTACTTAAAACTTGAACCAGCTTATGAGTTAGTCTTTAATTCTTTTATTCTTCTTACAATCAAAAGCTGTCTGAAACATCTTTAGTCTTCTTTCATGTGAAGATATTCATCTCAGTTAGCGTGCATTTAACAATGTTATTGGTATCATACTTACAATAAATCATCAAATTGTTGTAGTGATTATTCATATTGCATGAATATTAAAATATTTTTACAAGAACAACTTTCTTCAAAAACTGGAAAATCCTCAGAAGTGTTATTTGTAGAGTTGATATGAGTGTACTATTAGAATCAATACTCGTCAATGTGTTGGTGAAGTTAGTCATCGGTTTCTAGAAAAAAGTCTTTGAGCTGGTAGACTTTTCCACTTCTGAAGTTAACATTAATGTCATCAGCTGACATTCTAATGACCTTATCAACCAGTGCACTGCACTCACAGCAGAGAAAGCATAATCATTTAATTGGTCACTTGTCGCACCTGGCAGGACATCAAGTTCAAGAACTTTAACATTATCTTCAGGAATTTCATTAAAATATCTTACTAATATAGGGGCAACTTTTTTATTTTTATGGTGAGCCAAGGCTTTCCTATGGCTGAGATATGAGGCTTTACCATGTTCTTGTTAAATCTTTTGAGAGACTACAGCTGTGTTCTCTTATGTTATACTATTAGTTTGTGCTCGTGGAAATTTATGGAACTTAGGTCAGAGATGCAGGCTAAAGATCTTAAGTCATGATTGTGCTCTGTGGCATTATATGGAATTACCACTTTTTCTCAGAGTATCTTTTCTGGGCTAATTTATCACTGAATCATAGAAGCTCCAGATCTGACAGATAATGACAGTTTTCTTAAGTTGAAAATACAAAAAGATAGCAGATTTGGCTCATAAGAAGCAAGAGTCTACATGTAGTTTGACACTTTTTTAGGTGTTATACAAGAGCATTTCTTTTGTTAACCTCATTGAATGTTTTCTTCTTGACCTCACCCCTTGCATTCATTTTGATACTAATATAAAATGATTTAAATAATTTAAACACACTTCAAATATCTTTAAACTACAGGCAACAGCAGAAATAGTAATTATCATGGAATCCACTTTGCCTCATTGACATTCCACACGTAAATTAAATGACAGTTCACTATTCACAGAAGCCAACCTCTCTCTTTCTATGTCTTTTTCTCTCTCACCATCCTAATGCTCCTTTCACTTACAGGTGTCTAGCACCTTACTTCCCTGTCCCCACCCTTCACTTCCAGGTGCTCATGGATTTAACAATAAGCCCTTATTTTTACACAAACATTTTATGCAAACATCTACATGATATTGTAATCACTTATTCAACTTATGATGTTTCATCTTTTGTAGTTCTCAGTCTTAAATTTCTTACTCTTCAAAAATGACTATGACTGAATTGATTCTTTGAGTCACTATCTTTTAAGATCTTGGAAGTTTGGGAACATTTTTACATTTATGCCCCAAAAGGGAGCAGAATACTTGAAATACATGTTTCATATCAAAAGCCAACTTCCCCCCAAGCCTATGTATCCTGACTCTTTGGCCCTGCCCCTTGTCATTCTAACTTAGTATCCTGTATCATGTTCTTCATCATTACATATGCACTCATCATTACCTAAATGAGTCTTACATATTTATAGATTTTGATGTGTGTGTTTTCTAATCATAATTCTTTCTTTTGGAGCAGGGTTTTTGTTTGCTCTTATCTGTTCTTCAGTGCCCCAGAACAGTACCTACAGGTGCTTAGCATATAAGTTGGTTAAAAGAGAAATAAATCTGACAAATTGTGATGGTCAGTTTTCTTGTTTGACCACCCATGAAGTCGTCAAGGTTTGATCTGGAGGTGTCAGTGTTTCTCAGATTCTCTCTTAGGGTCCCACCAATTCCAGATGCTGGCACTTTTTGGAAAAGGGTTGCCTCCTGGCTCCCATAGCAAAACAGAATGCTTTGGGCAGTCTGCTTTTTACAAAAGATTAAAGGGAAGTTCACAGAGGTCAGATAAGGTGAGTGAGGTCATTTAGAAAGCAAGGGCAAATGGAGGCTTCCCTAGAAAAACGAACTGAATAATTTTTCAGTATATACATTAGTATGTTGCATAAACAGGGCTGCATAAGGTAACATTTTTTAAAACTAAGAAAGGATAAATAGTAATAGCTTGCTTTCCTTAGAAATTTATTAAGCATTGAATCATATTACACAGGTGTGGATTTCTAATTCTACATACTGTTTCAAGAAGTATTTTATAGCAGCAACTATATACTAGAAAAAAGAACATCGGCCCCTGGAAATCTGAAAAATCAGTATGTATTATTTTATCTAGAGTCATTGCAGCATTGAAGGTTATACAGAGAGGTAACACAGAGACTGTCTAATAATCAACCCCCTCATTTTTACTGATAAAGATTCTGGGGGCCAGACAGGGGACTTGTTTAGAGAGCTTGAACTTAGATCCTGTGCTGGATAATCTCAATTTTTCCTCAGGCTTCACTGTCCCCCATTTTCCACACTTCTTTGTGGATTATATTACCCTCTGGGTTTCCTTGGATTCATTGGGTGAGAGGCAAAGGCAAGGGGTTAGATAAGAGGTCAATAGTGGTGTATTTATTCCCCCAACAACTTCCCAACAAGACTAGATTTTGGCTGGGGTTGAATTCTTTGACCTGTAGCTGTAGCTCCTGTCTGTGGCCTTCTCTACAATGCTGGTAATCATTTCCTCTCTATCTTTTCAGACCCAGTGTGATATGATTTTGAGCTCTTGCCAGTCTCAGGTGCTTCATCAAACTTTACTAGTTTCCCTTAATCCTGTACATGTCTTTGTCACATAGTTCCCTTTTCTTTAATAGACCATGGCCATGCCATGGGGTTCCTACTAGGACTCTGGTCACATTCAAATTCAGGACTCTGGTCACATTCAAATTCAGGACTCTGGTCACATTCAAATTCAGGACTTCTGACTCCTTTACTGCTTTTTCCTTTATATTTCAAATTCATGGGCTCATGGGCTCCTTTAGAAATGCATACAACTCTACATGCTCAGATCATATGGAAATATTTCCAAGTACTTTAATAGAGATATAATAGAAACAGAATCTAAAAGTATGAGTAATGAGTACCATAGAGAGGGGAAAGGCTGACTCTACATAGGTTCTGCAGGAAATCTTGCAAAGGTGAAATTTGACTGGGGCAAAAAGTGGAACCACCTAGTGAAGTAGGAGGGCGGCATGGTTCCTGTGTGGTTAGAAGTGGGGTTGCAGCTTTCGATCCTGCAACAGCTGAAGTTAACCCACCCAGAGTATGATGATGAGAGATGGATTATTTTTTTATGTAGCCCAGCCTCTAGACATAAATTAATCATTTATCTGTGTTTAATTAAGCAGCAGCCTATCTTTCCAACACTAAATAGGAAAAAGGGCTGCCTTGGACATAAGGAGAGAAAGTCTATTATTCTTCAGTGGGATGTCTTTTTTTTTTTTTTTTAAGATTTATTTATTTATTTGTTTATACAAACACTGGATACAGTCAGAAGCGCGGGAGGGTGAGAGAATTCACCAGAGCCAGAGCAGGGAGCAGAGCAGGCAGAAGGACCGAAGTACACTGCTGAGGGGAGCAGCGGGCGGCAGGAGAGGTCCGCGCGCCATGTGGGATCCTCCTCCGGTGGCCGGGGAGCAGCCAGGGATCGAACCGGCGCTGCAGAGGCTGCGGGCAGCTTCGCAACCCAGCTCTCAACCGCTGCGCCACCGGGGAGGCCCTTCAGTGGGATGTCTAATTGAGATTTTTCAAATGTCAGTTTGACCAAAGCAGAGTTTTCACCTTATATCCTGACTTCACTGAAATATTATCTTTATATATTGGTATTTCATGTTCTTCACTCCTAGTTGCTTCTTTTTCCCCATGAAAATGGTGTTTGAATAAAGCCATGAGGTAAATGGAGAGCAGTTTTCTGAGTACAGCTATTCCTCAGAAGTAAAAGTAGCTTTATTCTAATCTGGAATCTGTGCAATACCTCATTTGTGTGACCTCATCAAGTTTCTGAAGTCAGGTTCCTCCAAATAAAATGAAAACACTGGTTAGGTCACTTCTGCTTCTCTGATTCTATAATCTTCTTAAGAACTAAACTAAGCTGTAGTATTTTCCATCTTGAGCTCTGTTTGATGAAACAATTCATGAACTTAAGGTTCTTTCATCCTAGACCATGGAATCTGTTTAAAAGAGAAAGAAATAAAGTCCCTGTACCTCCAGTCCTCCATTATCTCTGCAACTGATATCAGATCCAGAGACCACACTTTCCTGGAGCTCATCCTCTTCTTGCCATGATCTCTCTGGAGATGTGTCATCTAGGAAACGGAAGGCAAGGCAGAATGTTCCATTATCTAATCATCCTGTTGGGAGGGTCAAAAGAATCATTATGAGTCTGTATGGATTATTCAGATCATGTTTCTATTCTGCTTGACTCCAAGAATTCAGCCCAGCACTTTCCCTTTCGAGTGGCCCAAGGTTAAATAATCATTTTGACTAACGTCTCCACTCCCTAGCCAGTGGTTTTGATGCCCTATGGACACAATCTATGAGAAACTCCATTTCAATGGTTTGCAGCAATTTTGGTTGCTGCAAAAGTCACTGAAATAAAGTTCCTTTAATTTCTTTTCTGCCTGGCAAACTTTGCCTCATAACTTTAAAGCGTAGCTCAAATAGCACCTACTCCTGAAAGCATTTGTCAATACTCCTTGTACCAGGTAGAATTAATTCATGTTCTCTTCCGCTTCTGTGCTTACGCACCCATGTCTTTCCTGGCATTTATTGCCTTACAGAGGATTTGATTTTATCCGCTAAAAGAGGAGATCCTGGTGGTCTGAGAACTTCTTGTGTTTCTCTGCCTGCAATAGTAACTGCTTAGTGATGACTCTTTAAGAAAAGGGGAAGGGACAGAGAGAGGGAGGGGAAAGGGAAGAATTCTTGTTGCAAATGCTTGTAAGGTTTTCTCACACATGTTTTGAGAATGAATGACTTAACTGCATAGAAAATGCATGAGCCTCTTTGACAATGAAGTAAGAAGAAACAGAGTGTGGCAGATTACTGCTGAATGGTTTCTTTTCTCTTGCTCCTCCATACCTGCCTTTTCTATGTCTCATCTTTGGGTGGTCAAAGTTCATTAGGGAGGCAGATGCAATGACTTTAACTTCATGAGACACTGAATAGAGATGGCTTTTTGTTATGAGAGAATCCATCTCTACACTTTCCAGTGAATCAAGGCATAAAAGAATTCCTGTATTCAGGATTGGGTTTTCTCTGGCATGGGGTATCATGTGAAATCTCAGCTTATGCATAATTAATAACCCTTCTTGGGGAGAACAATTTGGTATGCATTTTAGATGCCATGGAATTCACCAAGGAGTGGTATAACCAGGAAAATTGGGATGTTATCTCTGTCCCCAACTAGCTGGTCAGCAGGTGTCCCAGCTTAAATGTCAAAAAGTTATTGGCCTTGCAATCTTCAACGATCTCAAAATTCTCAAAAATTCTAATTCTCATCTTCTTGGTGGATAGGGCAGTTTCTACAGACCATTTACTGTAAGAGGTGGAAAATGTCAGCTCCATATTTCTTTCGAATCTGTGATACTAAACAATCCATTTGTTAAACTTCTCACTAGTGTCCTGGAACTGGTTGGTAGTTTGGGCACTGATAATATTGGGGTCACTGCTGATAATGTCAGTTGCATTTGTTCTGCAGTCCTTTAGGAAACTGCAGTCATGAAAATTCTGATAGAATCTTAGAATCTTAGCAAGAGTTCTAGACCTAGAAGTCAGTTATGTCATCTAGATTTCTACACAGCATTAAGAAGAAAGCTGTGAGAAATGTGGATCATTGATGAGTAGTGCTACATTTAATCATTTTGTGTTGTCCTGGAAAATAGAAACATCTAGTTCATGCAAAAGAACTCATTCAATCAAAAATATGCTTGCTAAGCATCTATTATGATCCATTCACTGTTCTAGGTGATTACAGTTCATCAGTGAAATAAAAGAAGATCTCTAACTTTATGGAACTTATATTCCATGTTTGGAAGAGAATGGGCAGGAAATGAAACACCTAGTAAATAAGTAAATTACCTAATATCTTAGAAGATAACAAATGCTATGAAAAAAAAAAAAAGAATAGATCCTGGTAAAAGGAATTAGGTGCTAAATAGGCAGGTAGTAGGAAAGTGGCAATGTGTGCTCAGAATGGGTCTGAGACAGTGATAGCAAAGCAAAGGTTTAGCAGATGTTCGGGAGTTAGTCAAGCTGACGTATGGGAGAAGAACATTCCAGTAAGAGGCACCAAGTAGTGTAAATATCCTAAAGTAGGAATGTGCTCTTTGTTGGGGCTTAGGCATAATAAAGCTCCTTGTTGGAGCTTAGGAGTAATAAAGAGGTCAGTGTGGATGGAGCAGAATGAGTTAGGGGACAGAAATAAGAGGCAGGAGGAATATTATGGGGGGCAGAATAGAGGTTTTACTCAGAATTATATGGGGAGACATTACAGAGTTCTGCACAAAGATGTGATGGAATTTTGCACATGATTTCAAAAGATTGCTTTAGGGCCTCTCTAGTGGCGCAAGGGGTTAAGGTACAGTCTATGAAGCTATCCGCAGCCACTGCAGCATGAGTTCGATCCGCAGCCAGGAAAAAACCCACATGGCACAGCAGACCTCTCCTGTCTCGCCTGCTGCTCCCCTCAGCAGTGTATTTCAGTCAGTCTGCCTGTTCTGCTCCCTCTGTCTCTGGTGAATCCTTTACCTCTGGTCTGTACTCCAGTTCTTGTATCCATAAATAAATAAATCTGAATAAAAAGATTGTTTTGGTCTCAGTGTTTCAAATGGGCAGTGTTACAGACACACCTAATCTGCATGGATAAATTCCATCAGGTGAAACCTGTTAATATGGTTGAATATAGTATCTTTTGTTTCTCTAACAAGTATCAGAAGATATCATATTTAAAAAATGAAACAATAACTTTTGGATCCTACTTCCAGAATGACACTATGGGTGTGGTATAATGACCATGATTGAAATCTCCAGTGAAGCTACAGTTAGGAATGGTAAGACCATTCCTCAGTTTCTCCTTCATCTGCTACCTTAAAACTGAAATTATCTTCTTATGTAAAATTCTATGCTATTCATAAATTATGAGAGTCAAGAGTATAAAGATAGATGAGATATGGTCTCTATCTCCTCCTATATATAGTTGCCAAAGAGAAAATTTAGATCATGGCATGATGTTACATCTCTGGTCTATGTCAGGTGCTTTCCTCATTTCTTTAGATAATCAAGTGCTCTTTTGTTGGGAATAAATCACTGGAAGAACTCAAATTAAACTCCTACATTGGAGACAACATGACCCTTGCTTGGAGTCGAGGTCAGTTTTTTTTTTCAAAAGATTTATTTTTATTTATTTGTGCATATAAGAATTGGGGTATAGGCCAGAGGTGGCAGTGAGAGAATTAACCAGAAACAGAATGGGGAGCAGAACAGGCAGATCTACTGAAATACACTGCAGAGGGGAGCAGTGGGCAAGCAGAAGAGGGCTTCTGCGCCAGGTGGGTCAGCTCCCTGGCCAGGGATCAAACTCATGCACAGTGGCTGGTAATAGCTTGATAGCACTGAGACTTAAGCCCTGTGCCACTAGGGAGGCCCCGGAGTAGAGTTCACTTTGTTCCACTGTGTCATGAGCAGAGGAAACCTAACTTGTCATTCTATAAAGTGATAGATTCTCAACCTATCATCCTCCAAGGGGATGTGTGGCTATAGTGAAGAGAGTAGAAGATGGTGGTATCTGAATAGAAAATTTACATTTCTGAATCCATTATAACTAGACCCAAAGAGTGAAGTCACATCCAAGAGTGGTATGTAGTCTTCAGAGCATTCAATAGATAAAACTGTGACCCTAGAGAACTGAACATTTTTGTGAGGTTGATATAACCCAACTTAACAAGAAAGACAAGCAGATGGCATTTTAGTTTTCTGGTCAAACATCCATAACAAAATACTACAGACTGGTAGTTTAAACAACAAAAATTAGTTTTCTGACAGTTCTGGAAGCAGAGACCAAGGTTATCAGGTTTGGTTTCTGCAGAGTCCCTCTCCTTGGCTTACAGAGGGTCACCTCCTCCATATGTCCTCATATGGCATTTCCTCTCTGTATGTGTATCCTGATGTCTCTACTTGTGTCCAGATTTCCTCTTTTCTTAAGGACAACAGGAATTAGGGCCCACCCTAATGGCTTAAATTTCCCTAAGTGATCATCTCTGTCTCCAAGTACAGAGATTGTGAGGCACTTGGACTTCAACAATATGAATTTCTAGGGAAGAGGGGAACATAGTTTAGTCCATAACAGATGGGATAATCCCATTATTCAAGTCGAAGACAGATGTCTTAGGAGTGTTCAGCCATTTCTACAGGTAAGTTCATATTCTTTGGAGCAGAATTTCTGTGGAAAAATATGAGATCTCTCACAGGCAAAACCCAGACCTTGGTTTTCTAAGAGGAGGGATAGCATTGTATAGCCTTTCATGTAAGCGTCTTGGGTACAGAAGGGGCTATAGATCTCACTTACATGAGGAAGTGAGCTACCTGGCCTTAGTGTGGTTCTCTAATTAACTGACTCACACAGACAACAACAGATAGAGAAACTGTGATTGAAGGACAAGTGGTTTTCTGGTCAATGTATGGTACATTGTGAAAAGGGACACTTGGTAAGCATTTAGTTCTTATTTTCTAATGATGTTATAAACCAGACAAGAGAAGAAGACATTCATGGTTAGATGCCCTGTGGTTGCTGGTGTGTAGGAATATTCTTGTAGAGTGTGAGCACAAGACAAGGGTTGCAGGAAGGGGATGGGTTTGTTTCTAGACTTCTCAATTCTCATCCAGTTTATAGTAAGCTGACTGGTAATATTCTCATGAATGCTTCCATATACACTTGTTCTCTGACCTCAGTTTGCTCTGCAAATGGCAAATATCTCAAGTCATAGAACCCTCAGTTTGGAGTTATTGCACGAGTCATTACAGAAATCTGAGAAGAACAATGGTGCATATTATTATATTAGACAGCGAGAATGAATAAGTTATTTGGAGGAGTCTGGTGGTTCAGAATGCTCCCCATTGAGGGATGCTAGGTTTCTGGGTTGAATGATTTCAGAAACTTAAGATATCAAGATGTTTTATTTGTCATCACATTGAAAGAAGATAATTTGTTTTAGGACAAGGATTCTTAATAACTTCATTGAGGAGATACATGATTGTAGTGAAAGAATATAGCTATCAAGAGGATTAGACACTCCTGTCTTCATTTTGTTTCTGTAACCTCCATGGGAAACTATGTTGCTTGGTGAGTCAGAGATCTACACAAAAGGAGTTACTTACATGATTCAAATGTTTAAATTCTGGGACGAAAGAAAGATTTCAAAAGTAATTCTTATCCATTATTAAAGTCTGTCTGGCATGTTGAGAAGTACCAGAACCCATGTAGACCTGGTGGGAAACAGACAGTGGGTTAGCAATGTCTTTTGCAGACATTGCTGCATGATGTATGTGCTCTATTTGAGTCTCACTGACTGTCTGGTATAAAACCATCAGACAAAGTAGTCATATGAATTCATAGACACACAAATGCATGTGCATGTATGTCCACTCACACGCATACACACCTACACATATTATTAGAATGGGGGCCAGGCACATGCAGGGGTTAGCTGGTAATCACCAACATCTATTTTGGACCTTTTCTCTGATCAGGCCATCCTCTCTGTGGATATGTTCAGTCAGGTCAGAGTTAAATCATAAAGGCCTGATGTGATGGTGCTTTGAAATGATTGCATAATTCTGTGAACCATTTTAGATTCACTTATCTTTTCATTCTCAGAGGACAATCTTATTTACCAGATTGGCACACCTTGCTATGGCCCCTGTATAGGAAAAAGAATTATCTATTTCAGTAATGTTCATGCTTTAGAGGAACTCTAAAGATTTATTTTATTTATTTGTGCCTACAAGAGCTGGGGTACAGGCCAAAGGAGCAGGGGTAAGAGGATTCACCAGAGACAGAGTAGGGAGTAGAACAGGCAGATCTACTGAAATCCACTGCTGAGGGGAGCAGTGAGCAAGACAGGGGAGGTCTGTTGTGTCATGTGTGTCAGCTCGCTTGCTGGGGATGGAATTCATACTGCAGTGGCTGCAGATAGCTTCATAGTGCTAAGACTTAACCCCTTGCGCCACCAGGGAGGCCCGGAACTCTAAATTGTACCTGGACCCACCCTGATACACTAAACAAATAAGAGGCAGCAGTCAGCTTGCTCTGGCAGCCTCAACCATCCTTCTTTGGCAGACACTGTTTTCCTGTGAGTAGAAGACCAGAAACACATTTACAGTGAAGCTTAGGAGTGCATAGTTTGTTATTTGAAAACCACTTATCTAGTATATTTCCTTCATTCCAGATATGAGAAAAATCCAGCCTTTGGAAAGTAAATGGTTTACTCAGAACCAGCTGTGCTCTTGGGGTAAAGAACCCCCATATCCTAACTCATCATCCAGTGCTCTTTCCATGAGACCAACACTTGTGGATTTGGGGGAGCTTCTTGGTCAACATGGTCTAAAATCTGGGTGTTCAAGGGGAATGAGTATCCCCAGCCCCACCCCGGGAGGACATGCCGAAGACCCCACAGAGAAATATGTCTGCTTTGTCTCTCCTCCATTTCATAAGTGAAACCTGACGGCATAGATTAGAAAAATAATAAAAGGCCATCTCATCGGTGTTCCTATTTATTACACATTATCCAGGTATCTGGTTGCAAAACCTGCACTCCTACTCCTCTCTCATTGTTAACCACGGTTGAAGCAGAACACACCGACCTGCTTCATCAGATAACATCAGCATTTCGGTGAGTGCTCCCTTTCCAAGTGACTTCCACCCTCCTCTTAGTTACCCTTCTCCGCACTTCCCCAAAAGTCTAACAGGGGGACCTTTAATTAGCAGCAAAGCACCCCTCCTTTACTTGTGCTGGCAGCTTCTGTAGTCAGTCAAGGAGAAAATCGAAGAAAATAAAATTGCACCCCTTTCAGAGAAACTAGACAGACCGCCAGGCTGTAGGGTTAGAGAAAGGAGCCTGGAGGACTGAGACTCAGCTGACCAAGAGGTGGTAGCTCAGTCCTCCTCTTCTGGCTCAGCTCACACCCACCTCCCCAGCCTATGGAGGACACCAGAGTTTGTGAGAAAGCAGCTCTCTTCATTGCCTGTGTGGCGGGGGTGGGGGGGTGGGGGGGAGGGGGGGTTGGGGGAGAGGAGATGGGAGGGGGGACTAGAGAGGAGAGGGGAGGGGAGGGCTGGGGAGGGGAGGGGAGAGGAAGAGAGAATGAAGTGGAGATAACAGGAAAAGAGATGGAGATGAGGAACAGAGAAAAGGTGGGAGAACCAGAGATAAGGACAAGAAGGAGGGAAAGAGAAAGGAGAAGGGAAAGGAAAGGAGGACCAGAGGGAGCTTTATTGAAAATGTGTAAAGTTAAAAGCCAACTCAAAGCCTCCCCAGCCTGAGCTGCCATTTAGAGGCTCCTGAGGTGGAAAGACTGGACACAGAGTGGAGACCTCTGGGTTCCAGTCTCACTTCCACTGCTGACTTGTGTGAACTTGAGCAAGTCTCCTTTCCTCTCTGGGCCTCAGTTTCCTCAATGTGTGGTGAAAAGGGTACATGAGAGGCCCCGGGTATCTCTCCACCCTTCCCACCAAGTCAACCCTTGCCCTGGGGCAGTCTTGAGTCTGTGCTGAGGAGACACCAGGAGGAGAACAGAGCCCTTTGTGGCCAGCTGGGGACCGACAACTTGAAAGGCAGTGGGGGCAGGAGAATTGAAGCGTTTTTGTTGTGGAGGAAAGCGTGGGTTGCAGGCAGGGAGCCAGAAACCACTGACATCACCATAATACTTGGAACGGGCCTCTGAGAGGTGGGTGGGAGCCTCAGGGAGTGGGCAGAGTTACCTGGTGAAGGGATAGAGGGTCTGTCTGTCCCAGGAGCAACAGGGACAATTGAAAGGGCTCACGGGCCCTGACAGTATCAAGAGGCTGGTGGCCATGAACTTGAAGACAGGCGGAGAGAATAGAATTTGGGAGATATTTCCCCACTCAGTTCCTTGCTTTAGGTCTTGGAATAGAGGATGGGAGGGAAAGAGGAACACAGTCATTTCTAGACAAAATCCTCTCATCACTTCATCACTGGACCTTAAGTTGCAAACACTTGTTGATCTTCACCTTCACTCTAAAGCCCCAGAGTCTGTTCCACAAGGAACTGGAGGTCACCTCTGTGATAAGGGTACCCAGAAATTGCTTCTCTGCCCTCAGATGTGGCTTCCATCAAAATGTCACAGTGCTTGTAATTTTCACTATTATAGAGTCCCTTTTTTTGATTAAGTATTTCTCTCTTCCCTTCGGTCTTTTGTTAAAATAATATCTCATCCCTCCTAAGGATCTGCATATCTAACATCTTCCTGCATTTTAGTGCAAGCTTATCAACTCTCTGGCAAGTCCTCCACCACTGAGCTCAGGGCAGACCATGCTAATCAGTTACTGTGCTCTTTCCTGTTAACCCACATACATCCTCAGAATCCCTCTCAATTCAGGGATCTAGGCAGTCATTACCAACTGATTGGAATTAGCTCTTGGGATTGGCCCTTTTTGTCATCCCTAGCTTAGGGTGAATTATCAGACATTTTCATTAAGACAGGAATGTCCCAGGAGCAGGTAGAAGAGGCAGTCAGGTAACACTATGAAAGTTGGCAAGAGGCAGAGGAGAGAGAGAGATGAGAGAACAGCTAATCATGCCTGTTTTTAGTATTATTTGTTCTAGCCTCTTTGTAGCTTTTCCTTCAGCTTCTCAGAGCTTCCTTTATCCTCAGATTCTGTCATTCTGACTCTCTTTTCTCACCAGAGGTTAGAATGTTAAGAGAGAATTGTTCAGGGTACACCAGATTGAAGTGTTGGAATAAGTGGAAAGCAGACGAGTTCATTCCATTGCCCTTAGAAGCTGGTTTCTGTCTATGCTCACAGATACCTGGACATGCCTTATTCTTCAGGGTAGCCTTTGCAAGATCTTTAAAAGTCCACACCCCTCTTCTGCCTCCTCTTCAGTGATGGGAACCTCATTACCTCATGAGACAGCTCATTTCATTGTTGAATGACCTAAGTGGTTAGAAAGTGGTCAGCTCACACTGGGTTGAAATCTCTCTGCTTGACAAGTCCACCCATTAGTACTGGTTCACAGAGCATGTCTGCTTCCTCTTCCCCCTGGGGTCAGCCTTTCAAGTCGAGGGAGGTAGCTATCCCTAACCTAAGTTTTCTCTTCTGTAAGTTGAAGACCTCAGTTTTCAACTCTCCCTCATCTGGCATGGCATTTGAGTTTTCATTATCCTGAGTAACCCCCAGATTGTCAGTGACTCTCTTGTGAGCAGTGCCCCAAATTGAAAAACATGCAGTTTGGCTTGTACAAACATATGGGATTGTTGTTTGTTGCATTCAATTGATTCTTTACTCCTGTGATCTGGAAATTATTTTTCTTTTTATGTAACAGAAGAGTTGTATTTTTGTCTAAGATGCTGTTTTATCTCATCTTGTCTTAAGTTGTTGTGAGCAGAGACCCTTAGACTACTTTCTCATAAGCTACTACCTACCCTGAAGTCAACTGACAAGAATTTGTAAAACTGGTTACCACGTTGCTAAACAGGAATGTGTGTTAACTGTCTATTTGTGTGTCCTGTACTGGGCACTGAACCAGAGAGATAAGAATTATAATTTGAAACTTATTCATTCAACACATACTTATTGGTAGTACTGACTTTTTAGTGGACAACTTGTCAGCATCCAAATTTTATGTTCTAACGTTTGTTTAACATTTTACCTTTAAGGTACAGATTAGATCACTCATACAATGTACATAGAGATATATGCATAAAGATAATTGCAGCATTAATTTTAAATATGAAAAAGTAAACTAACTTAATTTTTAAGGAGAATGGTTAACTATAGTACTGTACCTCCATAAATAGAATGCCATGAAGCCATTAAAACCAACGAGCTAGACGTGTATGTGATGACACAGAAGCTCTAGACCTATTGTAAAATGAAAAACATTTCAAATGCAAATAAGAGTTTGAAATATACATACTCATCTACTTCTCCTGTAGGAGGAGTTAGAAAGAATATGGATTAGAGGGAAGAATGAATTTTATTTTTTCTTCTGCATCTCTTGGTGTTGTCCAGATTTTTATAAGTATGTATTTCCTTATTATTTGTGTGTGATTTTTAAAAGATTTTTTTTCAAGGCAGAGGAAATAAACCTCAAGCAAATATTAGGAATGACAAATAATTCAAAGCTGGAGAAGGCACTGTCTCCTTCCCTCAATAAAATAAAACCCAGTA